TTACGGGAGCCAGGTTGAATGGAGACTTGTGACTTGCATAAGCTTCTGGCATGCGTGAGTTGGGTCAACGCCGTTACTGTCGCTTGGAAGGAGAAAAGGTCATTTCCGTGCGCGTGGGCCACTGGGTCTGCGGGCTGGTAGGAGAGTTCTCGACTACGCGTGCATCGGCATTTTGTAGGAGACAGGTGATGGAACCAGGTGGGCTGCATTGAACCTCGACGGCAAATCAGTATACCGTGTTAGTGTTCTCTGCGAGGAAGCAGGGTAACCATTGGCAGTAGAAGTAGGATCAGATTTTGGAAAGGAGGTCTGAGTGCTGGTGAGGGGGCCGAAGCTGCGTTTGGGGATGTGGCATGTGCTGGGTGTCTTGATATCGCGGTCAGTGTAGCTGTCTTGAATACACATGTGACCTAATAGGTCTATGCGTTGGACGAATGCCCGGAAGCAATGTGGTCAGGGAAGGCGGCGGTCTCTTCTATGTGTTGGTGCTCAAGGCACTAATTCACCGGTCTCTGTGCGATGAATTCGCAAGTGACCGACTAGGCCGATGCGTGAGGTGAATGTGCGATTGCAGTGAGGGCAGATAAGGCCCAAGTCCTGAGCGCAGTCAGATGGTGTAGGTGTGGCGGAGACGGTGGTGGGAAAGCATGATGCGTCAAATAGGGTGGAGGGAGTTGCCGGGGAGGTGATACAGGTGGAGGAGGCAGCGGAGCATCTGTAATGAAGGTTGTCGCCGTCGAAGTGCTGGACCGAGGAGGGTCTGTTGAAGTTTTTGATGCCGTAGAAGTGGATGCCTCAGAGAAGTGGTGCACTGCGTCCGGAGGTGACCGAGCAAGCCAGTGCGTGCACAGTATGTGCATTGACAGTGCGAAGAAGTTGGAAGGGTTCGGGCAGTGACAGTGTGCGTCCGTTGCTTATGAGACCTGCGAGCCGTCCGTTTTGCCTTGGCGGCGGCAATCCGACTGGCTTCATAGATTCCTGTGCAAGTTTTGACCAATAATTGCCAAGTGGATTGGTCTGCGCGGGTCCATCCCAGCTCGTCGTGTTGATTTGGAGACGCTTCAGAGAGTTCTTTAGACTGTCCTCGTAGCGTCTCTTTCGTCTTCCTTTGCGGCGAGCGTCTGCAGCGACATCTCGGCAAAACAGTCGTTTGGGTAGTCGTCGGTCACTAGTCCATACCTCGTGACCGCTCCAGCGCATTTGTATCTGCCTGACAGTGGCCTAGATGCTGAGAACTCCCATTCTCTCTAAGACTTCCGTGTCCGCGATCCTCTCCCGCCATCTTAGCTTTAGATACGGCGGAGACAGCTGAGATGGAAGTGGTTAAGCCTCCGATCTTGGTTGGCTTAGACGGTCCAAGCCTCCCCTACGTACGAGAGTGTTGTGAGCACGACGGCCTTGTTTACCTTCATTTTTGTAGGCAGATGAAGACCGTGAGAATTCCATTCGGAGACTGACAGCCGGCCGATGGCTCGGCTGGCTTTGGAGATCCGTCGAATCATCTTGTCCTTGATTCGGATTATGCGGGATAAAGTGCTGCCGAGAAAGATGTGGTTGCCCTCGTTCTTGAGCTCGGAGCCATTGACGTTGATGCATTGAGCGTTGTGGTCGGCACCCGGGGTAGGTCGGCAGATGACCACCTTCTTGCCCGTGTTGATGGTTAGAGCAAAGTTGGCGCAACCTGCGGCAAATAGGTCCATACTTCTTTGCATGTCCGCTTCGGTTGTGGTCTTGAGAGCGCAGTCGTCTGCGAACAGCAGGTCATAAACTGCGTCGTGGAGACGCGCATGGGGGCCTGCATGCGTCGGATATTGAGCAAACCTCCGTCCGTTCTGAAGTTGATGTGGATCCCGGGACACTCATCGCGGTAGGCATCCATTAGCATGGAAGAGAACATGATACTCAGAAGGATGGGTACGAGGACACAACCCCGCTTCACTCCGTTGGTGACAGCAAATGCTTTGGAGACAAGCTCGTCGTCTGTGGCGCGCGCCATCATCCCATCGATGAACTGACGTACCATGTGAGTATAGTTCTCATGAGAGCCGAACGTTTGCATAACTTTCGAAAGTCCAGCGCGATTCACCTTCTCAGACACCTTCGTCAGAACGAGGAAACTGGTGTATAGGGGGGTGCGCATTTCATGCCAGTTATCCTGCATTTGGTGAGCAACGAAGATCTTGTTATTGGTGCCGCGATGATGGCGAAAACCACATTGGCTTTTCAGCAGGATTTCATATTGCGGGTGGTTGTTGAGACTGTTCAGGAGAACACGAGCAAAGAGTTTGCCAGCGATATTGAGCAGCAAAATTCCACGATGATTGTCCTACACTTGGTGGTTCCTCTTTCGCTT